ATGAATCAGGTTTTCCCAGTCTGAAGTCTGTCCCACATACTTTGGCCTAAGGCGCTGGGGGCGCTGCCGTCCTGTCTTCCCAGGACCTGGAATAGGTTTCAGAGCTGATGGGTCGGGTGGCTGGGGGTCGTTCCCTCGGAGCAGCCTCTGACCAGCTGCGGCGTCTGTTGTATTGGTGGCCGCGTGGGGACTGCGTGGACGTGCCCTCTGCCGCTTGCTGACTGTTGCTCGCGTGTCTCCTGGAGTTGATGCCAGGGCAGGAGGGGTGTGCCACGGAACGCACGTGAGAGCTGCGTGCCTCCCTCAGACCCCGCTGCCTGAGCACGTCTTCCCTTCCAGTGCTCCCTCCACCCTGCCGCACGAGGCTAGTGAGGGGGGTTGGCCCGGGGCCTCGCCTGACCCAAAGGGGCCTGGGTTGTGGTGGGAGGAGAAGGAGGAGATGGAAGCAATTAGGAGGCTGTAGCAGCAGCCCACAGGCCTTCGGTCCCACAGGGCTCTGGCTGAAAGCTCTTTGGTTACAGAATGGCCCCCTGGAGACTGCAGAGATGGGTCCAGTGCTGGGTGGGGCTGGCTGAGAGTGGGAGGCCTCTTTCCAGGATCGGGTGGGGGCGTGTTGCCGGAGGAGCAGGGAGTGCCTCTGCGGAGGCTGGGAACCCCACTTGCAGGTGCTCTGCCGCCTCTCTGAGAGGGAGGGCTGGCTGGGCTGCATCTCAGCGGGCGGGTGTCACAGGTTGGTCCACATCCAAGTGTGCCCACATCTGGAGTCCGGAGAGCCCCAGAGCCCTGTTGCAGGATGGCAGGGCTGGCTGGGCTGGGAGCTTGCCTGTCAGCTGGTGCGGGGCTGGGTGCAGAGACCAGGGTCTGGGAGATGGTCGTGGGAAACCTGCCCAGGGTTCCAGCTGCTGTGCAGTGTGCTTTCATGCTGGCCACCCCGCGGACATGAATTGAGCAGGAAGCTTGGGGGAGGGGGGGAAGGGCTCTGGGGGAGAAGGGACTGTCCCCGGGGTCATCGGTGGTAAAACTGGAGCACAGGCCAGTGTTTCAAGCACATGGTGTTTATTATTAGCCTCCTGCTGTGACCTCTCAGCGGTTGCCAAGCCTGGGTGTCCCGACCTTCCCCCCCTCACTCCCCCGAATTTCTGCAGGGAGAAATGGACCAGGAGGGAGTGGGCCCAAGAGGGTCACCGAGCACACCTTCGGCCTCCTCTTCGCACCTTCTCCTCACTTCTCTGCACCCCCAGACTCGCGTCTCTCTTTTGCTTAGCTCTAAGGAGCTGCATGCTTGTCCCAGGGCACGTGGGACAGGAGCTGAGTGAGGGACAGCGCCAGCGTGAATTGGCATTTACCTTCTGCCCTGTCCCAGTTGGTGAGTGGCCAGCAGTCCCCGGAGCCGGCGAGGCTTCCCAACGTCCTCGCCTGTGCTGCGGACCACAGGGTGGCACAGAAATGCACCTGCCCAGCCCAGTGTGGTTCTTTCGCAGGAGGGCTCCCGGGAGCCCACAGGCAGGACCGAGAACTGAGTGGGGCTGGTCTCCCAGCATCTGGACACCTGGTTTCTGTCCTGTCTCTGGTCCCCCTCAGAGGCGCCACGGTGGCCTCATCCTTCTGTCCTTTGCAGGATAGAGAACTGTCCGTGGGAAGCTTTGAAGAAATCTTGAAGTGTCCACCCTGGGGTGTAGCAGAGCTTCAGGTAGGGGACAGGTGGGGAGGGTGGGCCTAGTGAATCTACTTGTCCTCTCCTCCTTACCTAATGAATCTGCTTACCTAGTGAATCTACCCTCCCCTCCTTACCCTAGTGAATCTACTTACCCTTCTTGCTGTTGTTGAGTTTGGGGTGGGGGAGTCCCCCGCTCGCTGCAGTGCTGGGGATTGAGCTCAGGGCTTCGCCGTGCAGGGCAGGTGTCCCCTATTGAACCGTACTCAGGCCCAATAATCCCCACTTTGGGGAGCCTGTTTGCCCTGTGCTGAGCCAAGTCCAGGGGAGCCGTCTCAGTGGAAAAAGGGCCCCCGGGCAGGCCAGGTGAAGACAGGCACCAGAATGGGACAGACCACCCCAGGCCTCGAGCCCTACCTCAAACTTTGCTTCTCTGGGACCACTTTTTGCCCAGGGGTGGGGTCTGCACTCAACTCTGGGCCCGGCCAGCCTGCGTCCAGCATGGAACATAGGAGAGTCCCAGCACCCTGCTCCTTCTGGGACGGCACTGACAAGGACTGGCCTGGTGCCGGGGCACTGGTGCCCTGCCAGCCTGGGAGTTGCCCACCATCGCCACGTCTTGACGCCCCCACTCATCTCCAGGGAAGCCTGTTTCACGGGCTCCCGCCCCGTGCTGTCACGCCATCACCTCCGCCCACAGCCCTGCAGCCCTCGTGCCAGTTAGTCTCTGACTGCCAAGTGGCCTCAATAGTGGCTCAGTGGGTCTTTTTTTCCTTGGGTAACTGAAGAATATTCACCAGGAAATAATAGTGAACTTTGAGGGGGTGGGGGGAAGTCCAGAGCTGTTGGGACGTCCTGCGGCCGTCCAGCTGCCCGCAGGTGAGGGGAATGAGGGGTGGGGTGAGGGCCAGGGAGCTAGGGGGTGGCGGTGGAGGGGAGAGTGTGCCCTGGTCCTCATCAGAGGCTGGGCACTCTCTCCAGGGGAACCCAGGGGGCAGACGGGCTCTTGCCCCCACCTCACCACCAAACTGGGGGTTGGCAGCATTAAATTAGCCTCCCTGGCAGCCTCCCCCAGTGCTGTGTGAACAGGCAGCAAAGCCCCCGGGCATCCATTATTCATGAGACTTTCTCTAGTGTCTCCCTGGAACCTTCTCAGAGGGCTTTCCCTTGCATTATGTCATTAGCTCTCCCAGCTGCCCTCCTGCGGGGGTGGGGGGGGGGCAGGGCAGCACCCAGGACTTCATCCTGTTGTTCTGGGTGTGTGTGTTGGTGTGTGTGTTGGGGGGGCGGGGGGGTAGGCAGGGAACAGACCCCAGGGTTCTCAGGGAGCCACTTTGCAAGCCAGACACAGGCCTGGAAACCCAGGAGGAATCTGGAGGGCAGAGCCTGAGACGGGAAGGTCGGGGTGCAGAGGGGTGCAGACTCTCCAGCCCTGCGGGCACTGTCACTGGTGACCTTCCAGCCTGACGTTTCCCTCCCCCATCCCTTTGGGGTGCTGCTGAGGTTCTCAGGATGGGGACAGGGCGGGGGGGGGGGGGGGGCGCACACACCTGCTTGTGCAGCCAACCGCTGAGCCCCACCCCAGAGCAGGCTAAGCAGGGGTGGGCCTCAGGGCGCCTCTAGCTCTGGCCACAAGTTGAGTGAGTGCCAGGGGGCTGCTCCTCCGGCCTGCCTGAGGGGCCAAAGGCTAGTGACTGGCCTCGCCCAGGGCTTGAACAGTCACAAGTTTCCTTGGTGGGGGGGGCTATAGCGCCCCCATGTGGTAGGGGTGTGAGGCCAGGGGCAGTCACACCTGAACCCAGCCGGCAGAGCCCCTCCCCCTTCCTTGGGGACTTGCCAGACACGTGGCCCTTTCCCAAAGCTGCATGTCCTGGGTGTGCTCGGACATCTGCCCCGCTGCCCCACCCAGAGCCTGAGCGGCAGCACCATGGACACTGGGAAAGCCCAAGCAGGGTCTCTGCCGCCTCCCCTCTGGCCCGGGGCTGCCCCCCTCGTCCCCCAGCGCCAGTGTGGGAGGTGGGTCACTAAGCACATTGGTGGCTTCTGTCATGTCAATCCCTTGGCCCCAGACGCCCACCCTGGACTCGGGGACTGTCCGCCCCTCTGCTGCCTTTCCTGACCCTCACCCCATATCGCAGTGGCGGTCACGTCCTGCTGTCCACGCCTGGCCGCCCCCCACACCCATCCTTCCCTTCCAACGAGCCCTGGGATGAGTCCAGGAGGCCACAGGAAGCTCGTGAGAACCCTCAGCCAAGGTGGAGGCAGATGGGTGGGCCAGCTCAGAGGGGCTGGGCAGGTCCAGAAGGTCAGTTGAGGCTGTGGGAAATGGGAATTTCAAGGAAACAGTTACACCTGGGCGGCCCTGCTGAAGGCGGCAGAGCCAGAGCCGGGCCTTTGCACGCCCAGGCGGGGTCCGCAGGCCCTTGTGACGCAGAGGGGCCAGGCTGGGGCCTGCCTGCTGGGGGTGCGGAGGGAACCAGCACCACTGCCCGGCACAGCTGGCCACGTGGCGGGCGCAGCTGGAGAGCGGGGTCGGGTTGCTCTTGGCACAGCCCTTGGGAGCTGCGTTGGGAGGGAAAGGAAGGAACCAGCCCAAGGTCACAGGCAGCTGGGGCTGTGTTGAGGAGGGGGTCTCACCCAGACCCCCGAGCCACAGGCACTGCAGCTGAAGGAGACCGCCACCAGCCCCGCGTGTCAATGCAGCTGGTTTTTATTATTAAAGCCAAGGTTGGAAAATGGTGGTGCCCCCCCACCCTCCCCCCCATCGTCCTTCCTGTGCCATGATGGTGCGGAGATGAGATTCGTCTCGGAGAGACCCCGGAACGCTCATGCGGAAGGGAAGGACCGGGACTAAGGGCGCCGGCTCCGATGGCGGCGGCTGTGTGTGACGGGTCCGGGCCCCCTCCGCCTCCCGGGGTCCTGGAGGAGACCGCGTGGGTGGGGCGGTGAGTGGGTGGGTGGGGCTGGGCCGCCCCTGCTCACAGTGCTGCTCCTCAGGGGCCCGGTGGCAGCGGAACGAAGGCGACAGAAGAGGCGGAGCCGGCCCCCCCTCCCCCCCGCTGGACCCTGCTGAGGCCGGGCCACAGGCTGGTTTCTGTAAAAACGGTTAAAAACAAAAGAACCACCACCACCACAGAAGCCTCGCGGCGAGCACCCCCGGGCCCCAGCGGGTGCCAGCTCTGGGCGCTGAGGTCCGAGGCAGGTCTGGCCTGGTGCCGCCTCCCGGAGGGCACCCTGCAGGCCCCCCGCCCCGGTGTGTGGGGTCGGGGTGAGGGGCCCAGGCGACAGCTCCAGGCTGGTCTCCCCGCTGCTTCCCACCCAGCTCCAGTGGGGCGAGGTGGGGCCGGGCGGGGGGACGGCCTCTAGGCCTCGGGGACCCTGTGCAACTTCTGCTCTTTGGATTCCAAAGATCTGAACTTCTCCTCCAGCATGGACACGGGGGGCTGGAAGTGGATGACGGGCTTGATCTGAAAGACGGAGAAGGGCTCCTGGTTTTTCTGGTTGAGCAGCCCCACCCGCGGCTCCAGCTCGGGGCTGGGCTGCTGTGGCGAGCCCGGCGGGGCTGGGTCCGAGGCCCGGGGGGTCGGGCAGGGGTCCTCCGAGAGGGAGGAGAGAAGGTCCTGGGCCTGGGCCTCGCCCGAGGGCTCCGACCACGGCTCCTCGCGGGGGCCCGTGCTGCAGTCTGAGGGCGAGCCCGGCGTCTGGCTGCTGGCGCTTGGGGCCGCCGTGGCCGGGCTGTGCGCCGGGAAGGAGGCGCTGTCCGAGCTGGCCCGGGTGTCCTCGCCGCCCAGCTTCAGGGGCACGTCGAGGGAGAAGAGGTCGGAGGAGATGTTGGGCTGGTGGATGTCGATGGCCGCCGTGGTGACCATGCAGGCGGCCTGCTCGGGGACGCCGCTGTCTGCGGGGAGGAGAGCAGCCGGTCAGGGGGAGGGCGCCGAGTGGGACTGCGGGGCTTCAGCAGACGGACACCCCCCCCCCCCCACACACACACACACACGCCAGAAGACTGCTAACTCCGGTGTGGACACGGGGCCGGCTTGGACCCTCACCTGTGGGTGCTGAGCAGTGGTGCCCCTGCAAGGCACCTGCAGGCAGGTCCGAGAAGGGACTGGAGCAGCCCCGGGGCAAGAGAAACCCCACGCCCATTGCCAGGGCTCCTGATCAGTCCCTGGAGTCGCTGTGATGTGGGGCTGTTGACCACTTGAGTCCAGTCTGACTCAGCATGGGGGCCAGGCAAGGGAGTGGGAACCCCGTGTTTGGGGAGGCGCTTTCTGAGGACTGGGATAGCCCCTCCCCCCTCAGCAGGCCTCTCTGAGAGCAACCAAGGGCGGCATTGACAGCGGGTGTCCCTAGTGAGGGCGGCTTCTCCACAGCTCGGTGGGTAGACGGGGCTGGGGGAGAGGGGAGCCGAGCACTGGAGGTTGAGTCATCCCTGCTCCTCCGTCCTCCACAGTCCCGTCACCTGACAGAACGATTCCCTCAGGGAAAAGTCCCTGAGAAACCTTGGCTGCTTCCAACCGTGGACCAGTCCTCCTGGCCTTGTTTCCAGCATCCTTGGATGTTAGTTCTAAACTGTGGTTTTTACATCCCACATATATGAAGTGCGGTCGCTCTGCGTCTGTCCCTCTCCTCCTGACTTACTTCACTCGGCACGATACTCTCCTCTCCGTGTCCTTCCGTTTATAAGTGAATTTCATGACTTCATTGTTTCGAACAGCTGCCTCCAGGGCTGGGGGAGAGGCCAGCTGGGATAGAGGAGGGGCCTCTGTGACAATGAGGGGTGGAAGGGATCGCTCTGGACGGGCGATGCGTGCTGAAACTCGGGCAAAGGACCAAACATGATGGCCTCTCAGTATCTGTATTACAAACCTTAATGTCCTAAAGTAAAGTAGAGAGGGAGGGAGGGGAGGGGAGGGAGGGGGGAGAGAGAGACAGAGACAGAGACAGAGACAGAGAGACAGAGAGAGAGAGAGGGACAGAGAGAGAGAGAGAGAGAGAGAGAGAGATGCCTGCCATAGAGACGGTGGGGAGTGGCAGGAGGGCTACGAGGGATATTGGTGGTGGGAAAACCACACTGGTGGAGGGATGGGTGCTGGAACTTTGTATGACTGAACCCTGATCATGAAAGCTTCATAACTTTATCTCACGGTGGTTCGATGAAAAAAAAAATAATAATTTAAAGCAAAAACACCTTAGCTGCTTCCAACAGTTACAGGCAAAGCAGGAGATTCTCGGGTCCAAAGGGGAAAACTACTTAAGTGAGCGGCCAGGTAAGAGACTGGGGGTGGGGGGTGAGCTGGTAGGACAGGGAGGCCACGGGAAGGAGGCCATGGCTAGAAGAAGGCTGGGAGGCCCTGGTCTGACTGGGTCGCCACGGAAAGTCAAGAGCGATCAGACGATCTCACTTACGTGTGGAAACATAAACTCAGTGAAACGGGGCAAGGGCGTCAAGAGGTAACGAATCCCCATGCACATGGGGCCGAAGCAGTAGCACAGCGGGGAGGGAGTTTGCCTTGCACCTGGCCGACCTGGGTTCGATCCCCATCATCCCATATGGTCCCCCGAGCACCTCCAGGAGTACTTCTGAGTGCAGAGTCAGGAATAACCCCTGAGTGCTGCCGGGTATGACCCAAAAAGCAAAAAATAAATCTTAGGGCTGCTAGGCCCAGCACGGTGACTGCAGTCAATAAAATGGAGTTGTTGACCTGACAGTCCCTGCGGGTGTGGAACACTCTCGGACTGGGGCGTGGTGGTAAAGGCTGCTAGCAGACTGGCTGTGGGGACCAGTTTGCACTGTATGTTAGTCCCCACTTTTCTCCGAGGTCTCTGAGATCCCCAGTGAAACCCTCGACTGAAAACCCTTCACTGTTTTTCCTTAGTGCCTAACTTGGGAATGAACAAAAACCAGAACAAAATGGGTGGTAATGAACGACTTAATAAACACATGAATATGGTCTCTCCCAAAATATCTTTGTTGGGGCAGGGGGCTGGCGGGGAGGAGGGGTGGGTGTTGTTGGGCCACACCCTGCAATACTCAAGAGTTAACTCCTGACTCTGCGCTCAGGGATCACCTCCTGTGCGGGCTTCAGGGGCCATATGGGATACTGGAGATCGAACCCAGGTCAGCTGCATGCAAGGCAAACGCCCACCCTTCTACCGCTGTACTATTGCTCCGGCCCTCTCCCAAAATATCTTGCATGGAATATTTTGTCTGCACGAGACCTCAGGGTGAGTCACAGTGTCCCCCACCTGGACACTGACTCCCTGGACACAGTGTCTCCCTAGACAGTGTCTCCCACCTGGACACTGACACCTGAAACAAACATCCTGTTGCAGGTCAAAGCCCAAAGCTCAGAAGAAACCAGGCGCTGAAGGAGAGAGGGGTCTTGCACAACACAGGGAAAGCTGCAGAGTCTCTGGGAACTCTTTCCCAGGGTGAGGCTTCAGCAAGTATAAGCACAGAACGGCTGCTGCTGCTCCAGCCTCGGCCTCCTGCTCCCTCTCCCCAGCTGTGGACACACCGAGGCCTTCAAGCCTTGCACCTCTCTTTCCAACGGAGATGTCCACACCAGGCCCTCCCTGGTGACCTGGAAGTCCCCAGCCAGCAGCCAGAGCTGAAGGGATCTGAATTCCTGCCCCTGCCGCCCTCAGCCACCGGGGTTCCCAGGGCCACCCAGATGTTGGGCCGCATTGAGATCTGGGACCCCCGATCCCCCCTTACCACTACTGGGTCCGTTGTAGTACTGGCTGATGTAGCTGTTCATGTCATCTTGCACCGTGGTGTCTAGGGAAGTGGAACAAAAGGGGGTGTGGTCAGCAGGGCTGGGGCTGCGGGCACACCCCTCTCCAACCCGGTCTGGGACCCAGGAAGCACACAGCCTCCCCTGTGAGGGGCCAGAGCCCCTCCCCCGCCCTCAGCTCCCTCCGCCCTCGCCTGAGTGCTGTCCTCCATGCAGGGTCCCACAGGACAGCGATGGGGGCCCCACGGCACCGCAGGTCCTGTCCCCCGAGCACTGCAGGGACGCCCTGGAACGCACGGTGTGGGAGTCTGTGACGGGACAGCAGCAGGCCAGGCTGAGCGAGATGTTGGGGCGGGGGACCCGGTCTCAGGGACCTGCCCACCAGCCCAACAGGCACAGGACGAGCAGAGTTCAGAGACACTTGGGAGGGGGCCGGGACACACCCCAGGGACCTGCTGCCCAGGCTCCAGGCGGGGCTCGGGAGGTGCCTCTGTCACAGGGCGCTGAGGGCCCTGAGGGGAGGGGGGTTGTCAAGTGAGAACTTGGGGGGCTGCCCGGACGCCTCACCCAGAGGGGCCTCCCGAGCGCCCTGGTCTCTGGCCTCAGCTCCACCGCTGTCGCCGCGGGGCATTCTCTGCACCCGGCACCCCGTCCACGACATGGGGACAGTGTCCCCTCTCCAGAGCCAGGGAGAGGAGACCTGGTGTCAAGCCCGGTGTCAGACCCCCGCCATGACCCCCCCTCCTGGGATGGGGGTGCCCATGAGAGGAGCACAGCGGGGGGCACCGTGGGGGACCAGCCAAGTGTCCACTGCCGAGCCCGTCCCATAGCATTTTGGCCCTCTTGTGAGGTGCATCCAGCTTCACCGCCAGGGCTGAGGAGGGGGCCAGCCGTGCAGCTCCACCAGGTCCCCCGCCTCAGGCTTCCACTGCTGGGGTCCGGGCTGTGAACACTGTCCCCTTCCGCCACCCCCCAAGCGGCCCTCAGTGCCCCACATCCCCCACACAGGCATGGAGCCCTTGGTGTGGTGTCCTGGGGGCTGGTGATGCGGCAGCCAAACTAGTGTCCGCAGAGCCACGAGACCACCCCTAAGGAGGCCTGGGGTGTTCGAGAGACCCAGGGCCTGGGTGTAGCTGTCCTGGGGGCTGGGCGGGTCACAGCCTCTGGCTGGGCCAGGAGGGGGCCCGGCAAGGCTGCGACAGGCTCTGAGGAGACAGGCCACTGGCTCCTGGCACTGTCTCCAACCCAAGTTCTAAGCAGGGCGGGTCCCCGCACCCCTCGGGGTGTGCCCCCAGCGGGCCTGCACCCCATGGTGGGCGCCTCCTCTGTCAAGTTTGCTCTCTGCTGGGCACTGGGCCCCCTGCCTCCTGGCAGCACCCGCCCAGCTGCCTCCCTGGGCCAGAGCTCCCAGGGGGTGGGGGGTGGGGGAAGGGACCCTACAGTCCTGGTCTCCAGCCCCCCACCCGCTCGGTTCTGGTTTCTCTGACTCAGTGGCCCATTTGCCTTGCAGGTGCCAGGCCCTGAGTCGGATCCTGGCTGCCCTGGGCGCCTCCTCCCCCTACTGTCCTTCTGGGAAGCCCCGCCCCCACCGCTTGGGTTAACTGCATGGTGCCGGGAAAGGCAGGCACCAAATGTCTGCAGGCTGGGCCCTGGCGCTTGTCCCCTGTAACCCTAGCTGCTGTCCTGGAGAGTTCTCACCGCCCAGTGTCTCCTCCCCGGGGGCCAGCAGCACCCAGCTCGTGACTCCTCGGGGGCCCACACAGATGCCCGGGTTCCTCCTGCAGGCAGGAGCGAGCCCCTCCACCCCCCCCCCCCCTGCAGCTCATGTCTCTGCCCTGTGCCCCTGTGGTGAGGGCTCATCCCTAACACCCCCTTGGCCCCCTGGGCAGCGGAATCAGAGCAGGGGAGTCCAGCCAGTCCCCCACTGTGTCTCTTCGTGTCCCCCCTCCCCCCTTGAGGGCGCTGCCTGCCTCCACACAGGCTGCTGGCCAGAACCACCCCTGCCCTTCAGCCCAGACGCCTCTGCCTGGCTGGCCACATGCAGCTTCTCCCGTGACCTCCAGCTCCCACCGCGGCAACGAGCCCAACATAGAACCGGGTGCTCCCTCCACCCTGGAGGCTGGGACCCCAGCACTTGGCCGGGCCTCCCTCCTCCCCCCTCCCGCCTCAAACGCCCTGCCCGGTCCCTGTGGCCTCTGCACTGGCCTGAGCTCCAGGCTCACGTTCCCTCAGATTCTCAAGATTCTCGGCATGTGACCCCCACACCCTCCCCCTGCCCCCATCCTCTGGGGAATTTAGAGACAGGAGCGCCTCCCAGGCCCGCCCGCCCTCTTCTCCTGAGGACTTGGAGAGCCTTTGGGACACGGCGGCACTCTGCACAGGGTCAGTGTGTGCCTGCCACTGGGACACAGGTGATAGTGAGGGGCCAGCTTATCCCTCCAGGGGCAGTATACTACCCCTTCTTTCCTGCCCGGGCACTGCTGGGTGCCAGGGATCTCGGGGGCACGAGGGTGAGGGGAGTGAAGGAGTGAGGGGTAGAGGCTGGTCTGCCTAAGAACCATCCAGGCCCTGGGCATGGCTCCCGAGGGGGAGGACCCAGGAGGGGCTGGGGAGAAGAGTGGGCACAATCACAGGCTCGGGGCTCCTACCCCAGGAGGCCTCTGTGCCCTCTGGGCGGGCTCAGCCCGGGGCTACCCCTCCTCTCCCTGAGTCCTGGGTCATTTCTGCAGCTTTCCAGGGCCCTCCCAGCTGGTCCCCTAAAACCAGCCCAGTGCAGGGCTGGTGGGCTCGGAGGAGAGGAGGAAGCAGGGGCGCTGAGTCAGCCGAGCCTCTGGGGCTCAGGTGCATGTCCTGGGGTGCACGCGGGCCCAAAGCTCCAGTTGGCAGCTCTCTGAGCCCTGCGTTTCCCAAAAGGAGAGAGGAATGGAAACTCAGCTTCGGAGAGTGCTGGCAAGACCAGGAGGGCCCCTCCTGCTGAAAGCATCCTCCCAGGGGACACTGCAGGAGTGAGCGGGAGGGCCAGTGCTGGGGGCAGGCACCAGGGTTCCAGCCGCCACCCCAGCTCACGCCATCCCTCCCTCTGGCCTCCCAACACGGCGGCTGATGCCCCCACCTCCTCAGGTCTTAGTCCCTGGCTCTGGGGCTCCCTGAAGCATAAATAAGCCTGAAGAGGGCCCCAAGGCGGCTCCATGAGCCCACGGGCCCCTCCCTGCCCGGGAAACACCCCCCCCCCCCCCCCACTTCCCAGCAGACACCGCCAGGGCTGCTCTGGGCCGTGCCGGGCGGGGAGGGTGGATCGTGCGGAGACCCCGGGCACTCCCCATGGGACCGTGAGTCATAAGTTACGGGGGAGCTTGGAGGCTAATAAATTTGGGGGGAGCATTAATGACTGCACAGGGGCCCTGTGAACCGGGCAGGCCCAGAGCCTGCACCGCCGCGGCCTTGGTTTTAAAAATGATTTGTGCCGGGCAAGTGGGGCCAGAGCCGCTGGGCATGTCGCCAGTGACTGCTGGGGCCAGGGCTGGGCTGGCATCCCCCACCCTGACCCCCCAGCCAAGAGCCCCTTCCTAGGGCTGTTCCCAGGACACACCCCTGCTGGCAGACCCACCCTGTCTGTCCGTGTGTGCGGTGGTGATGCGGGTCACCAGGAGCCGCCACCCCCGCCTTCTCCATGCCCACGCGGCTGCCACCATAACTCCTGCTGTCCCCAAGCCTCCCGGCTCCTGGTCCCGGGGACACGTGGGGCCTGGCCTCCCTGGCCCCTCGGAGGCTGTGAATCATGCCACATGCTCAGCGCTGTGGGGTGAGGGGGATGATGAGGTGCTCTGTGTGGGGGGATGGGGGTGGGGGGATGAGGGTCAGGGGGCACCCAGGGCTGTCACAGAGGAATGGCCGGGCCCTGGGCTGACAGCAGGCGCCACGACCGTGCCCTCACGTATGGCTGAGGCTTGTCACATGCTCCCTGCTCCCCTGGGCGCCCACCCACTATGCCCCCCCCCACACACACACATGCACACACTCACACACACACTCACGGGTGACACAACTGAAACTGACACTGAGTGGAGCTGGGACTGATGACCTCCTGCTCCTCCTCCAACTCCTCCCTCTGACCTCTCACTCCTCCCTCTGGCCCCCTGCTCCTCCCTCTGGCCTCCAGCTCCTCCCTATGACCTCCTGCTCCTCCTCCAACTCTTCCTTCTGACCTCTCACTCCTCCCTCTGGCCCCCTGCTCCTCCCTCTGGCCTCCAACTCCTCCCTCTGACCTTCTGCTCCTCCTCCAACTCCTCCTTCTGACCTCTCACTCCTCCCTCTGGCCCCCTGCTCCTCCCTCTGGCCCCCTGCTCCTCCCTATGACCTCCTGCTCCTCCTCCAACTCCTCCTTCTGACCTCTCACTCCTCCCTCTGGCCCCCTGCTCCTCCCTCTGGCCTCCAGCTCCTCCCTCTGACCTCCTGCTCCTCCTCCAACTCCTCCTTCTGACCTCTCCTCCCTCTGGCCCCCTGCTCCTCCCTCTGGCCTCCAGCTCCTCCCTCTGACCTCCTGCTCCTCCTCCAACTCCTCCCTCTGACCTCTCACTCCTCCCTCTGGCCCCCTGCTCCTCCCTCTGGCCTCCAGCTCCTCCCTCTGACCTCCTGCTCCTCCTCCAACTCCTCCTTCTGACCTCTCACTCCTCCCTCTGGCCCCCTGCTCCTCCCTCTGGCCTCCAGCTCCTCCCTCTGACCTTCTGCTCCTCCTCCAACTCCTCCTTCTGACCTCTCACTCCTCCCTCTGGCCCCCTGCTCCTCCCTCTGGCCCCCTGCTCCTCCCTATGACCTCCTGCTCCTCCTCCAACTCCTCCTTCTGACCTCTCACTCCTCCCTCTGGCCCCCTGCTCCTCCCTCTGGCCTCCAGCTCCTCCCTCTGACCTTCTGCTCCTCCTCCAACTCCTCCTTCTGACCTCTCACTCCTCCCTCTGGCCCCCTGCTCCTCCCTCTGGCCCCCTGCTCCTCCCTATGACCTCCTGCTCCTCCTCCAACTCCTCCTTCTGACCTCTCACTCCTCCCTCTGGCCCCCTGCTCCTCCCTCTGGCCCCCTGCTCCTCCCTATGACCTCCTGCTCCTCCTCTAACTCCTCCTTCTGACCTCTCACTCCTCCCTCTGGCCCCCTGCTCCTCCCTCTGGCCTCCAGCTCCTCCCTCTGACCTTCTGCTCCTCCTCCAACTCCTCCCTCTGACCTCTCACTCCTCCCTCTGGCCCCCTGCTCCTCCCTCTGGCCTCCAGCTCCTCCCTCTGACCTCCTGCTCCTCCTCCAACTCCTCCTTCTGACCTCTCACTCCTCCCTCTGGCCCCCTGCTCCTCCCTCTGGCCTCCAGCTCCTCCCTCTGACCTCCTGCTCCTCCTCCAACTCCTCCCTCTGACCTCTCACTCCTCCCTCTGGCCCCCTGCTCCTCCCCCCAACCTCCTGCTCCTCCCTCTGACCCCCTGTTCCCCGTTCACCCTCTTCCTCTCTCCAGCCCCTCTGACAGGGCCTGCAGTTTCTGTGGAGGTTCCTTTGTGCGACTCTCCAGGCCCAGACCAGGGCTCCCTGTGGGCAGTGGGGGTCCCGGAGGTGGGACAGCAAGGGGAGCTGTCCAGCCTGGCAGGTGGAGACCATCCTGGGTGAGCCGGGCTGTCGTCCACTTCCTGCCCCCTCCCTGCCTAGGAAAGCCAGAGCCGAAGACGCAGCAGCCTTCCGGCAACACTTTCACAGGCTCATTCTCACCCTCTCTTCTGTTCGAGTCCTGGATTCGGAGACCCCAGGCCCGGAGGCTCCCGGTTTAAGCCCCCAGGGTGCAGAGACCCACGTGGGGAGAGGGACTGGTCAGGATGCAGCCGTTGCCCTTATCTCCTCGGCATGGCCCTGAGCTTGCAGGCAGGCAGGCAGGAGGAGGCGGAGGCACGCAACTGGGGGCACGCTTGGAAATGCTGTTCGGGGTGGGGGCTCAGTTGCACCGGGTGGGAGGGGACTGGGGCTCACGGAGATGGTTTTGGGCCTGAAGGGAAACCTGGCAGGGAGAACAGGGGGCAGAGGCAGCTGAGCAAAACTACAGAAGCGGGCAGGGCATTTGCCTGCACACAGTCTGATTCCTGAGCGCAGAGCCAGGAGAAACCCCTGAGCATCGCTGGGTGTGACCCAAAAAGCAAAAAAAAACCCAAAAACAAAACAAAACAAAACAAATGCGGAAGCAAGAGATGACTGTGCAAGGCGGGGAGGAGGTGAAGGGCTGGGAAGCCCACAGGGACGGACACCAGCGCAGGTCTCGGATGCCCCCTTTCAGGGGGCCGAGTAACTGACTCCAGGCTGACGCTGAGCCCGGGATCTGAGCATGTGACCTCTGGACCCCAGGAGGGCAGAGCTGTCGGGGACACGGGTGGGAGGTGGACCGGCCTCCTGCCGAGATCCGCCTGCCCAGGGGAAACCAGGCCCCTAGAGGTCGAGATCAGGGGGCGGACCGGGAGGCGCTGCCAGCATGAGAAGCCTGGAGGTGGGCGAGGGCGGGCGGGGTCAGGGTCAGGGTCAGCCCGGGCCCCTGGCCCCGGCCGACCTGGGCCTCGATCGGGGCGCCCCACCCACCTTGCGCGGGCTGCAGCTCCTCCTCGACGCTCCCGGCCGCCGACTCCTCGGCCCACGCGCCGGCCTCCAGCACCGAGTAGCGGCCGCGCGGCTGGCGGAGCACGTGCGGGGCCTGCAGCGCCGCCTCCCGCTCGGCCGCCAGGTCCAGGTCCTGCTGCGCCAGGTGCGCCCGCAGCTGCCGGATCTCGAACTGCCGAGGCAGAGGGGAGGGCGCTGGGGGCGCCGCAGAGGGGCGGGCGGGAGGGCGGGGGACAGCGAGGGCAGGGACGGCGCCCCCGGGTGGGGACAGCGAGGGCAGGGACGGCGCCCCCAGGTAGGGACAGCGAGGGCAGGGGACGGCGCCCCCAGGTAGGGGACAGCGAGGGCAGGGGACGGCGCCCCCAGGTAGGGGACAGCGAGGGCAGGGGACGGCGCCCCCGGGTAGGGGACAGCGAGGGCAGGGGACGGCGCCCCCGGGTAGGGGACAGCGAGGGCAGGGACGGCGCCCCCGGGTAGGGGACAGCGAGGGCAGGGACGGCGCCCCCGGGTAGGGGACAGCGAGGGCAGGGACGGCGCCCCCGGGTAGGGGACAGCGAGGGCAGGGGACGGCGCCCCCGGGTAGGGGACAGCGAGGGCAGGGACGGCGCCCCCGGGTAGGGGACAGCGAGGGCAGGGACGGCGCCCCCGGGTAGGGGACAGCGAGGGCAGGGACGGCGCCCCCGGGTAGGGGACAGCGAGGGCAGGGACGGCGCCCCCGGGTAGGGGACAGCGAGGGCAGGGACGGCGCCCCCGGGTAGGGGACAGCGAGGGCAGGGACGGCGCCCCCGGGTAGGGGACAGCGAGGGCAGGGACGGCGCCCCCGGGTAGGGGACAGCGAGGGCAGGGACGGCGCCCCCGGGTAGGGGACAGCGAGGGCAGGGACGGCGCCCCCGGGTAGGTGGGGACACCGAGGGCAGGGGACGGCGCCCCCGGGTGGGGGACAGCGAGGGCAGGGACGGCGCCCCCGGGTAGGGGACAGCGAGGGCAGGGACGGCGCCCCCGGGTAGGGGACAGCGAGGGCAGGGACGGCGCCCCCGGGTAGGGGACAGCGAGGGCAGGGACGGCGCCCCCGGGTAGGGGACAGCGAGGGCAGGGACGGCGCCCCCGGGTAGGGGACAGCGAGGGCAGGGACGGCGCCCCCGGGTAGGGGACAGCGAGGGCAGGGACGGCGCCCCCGGGTAGGGGACAGCGAGGGCAGGGACGGCGCCCCCGGGTAGGGGACAGCGAGGGCAGGGACGGCGCCCCCAGGTAGGGGACAGCGAGGGCAGGGACGGCGCCCCCGGGTAGGTGGGGACACCGAGGGCAGGGGACGGCGCCCCCGGGTAGGTGGGGACACCGAGGGCAGGGGACGGCGCCCCCGGGTGGGGGACAGCGAGGGCAGGGACGGCGCCCCCGGGTGGGGACAGCGAGGGCAGGGACGGCGCCCCCAGGTAGGGGACAGCGAGGGCAGGGACGGCGCCCCCAGGTAGGGGACAGCGAGGGCAGGGGACGGCGCCCCCGGGTAGGGGACAGCGAGGGCAGGGACGGCGCCCCCGGGTAGGGGACAGCGAGGGCAGGGGACAATGCCCCCAGGTAGGGGACAGCGAGGGCAGGGGACAGTGCCCCCAGGTAGGGGACAGCGAGGGCAGGGACAGCGCCCCCAGGTAGGGGACAGCGAGGGCAGGGGACGGCGCCCCCAGGTAGGGGACAGCGAGGGCAGGGGACAATGCCCCCAGGTAGGGGACAGCGAGGGCAGGGACGGCGCCCCCAGGTAGGGGACAGCGAGGGCAGGGACGGCGCCCCCAGGTAGGGGACAGCGAGGGCAGGGGACGGCGCCCCCGGGTAGGGACAGCGAGGGCAGGGGACGGCGCCCCCAGGTAGGGGACAGCGAGGGCAGGGGACGGCGCCCCCGGGTAGGGACAGCGAGGGCGGGGACGGCGCCCCCAGGTAGGGGACAGCGAGGGCAGGGGAAGGCGCCCCCAGGTAGGGACAGCGAGGGCAGGGGACGGCGCCCCCAGGTAGGGGACAGCGAGGGCAGGGGACGGCGCCCCCAGGTAGGGACAGCGAGGGCGGGGACGGCGCCCCCAGGTAGGGGACAGCGAGGGCAGGGGAAGGCGCCCCCAGGTAGGGACAGCGAGGGCAGGGGACAGCGCCCCCAGTTGGGGACAGCGAGGGCAGGGGACAAGCCCCCAGGTAGGGGACAGCGAGGGCAGGGGACGGCGCCCCCAGGTAGGTGGGGGGCAGCGAGGGCAGGGAACAGCGCCCCCTGGCGGGAGGGGCGGGCCTTGCCGATACCCCCCCTTGGTCCCAGGCCTCCTTCCCCAGCTCCGGGCTGCGTCTCCCTGTGGACCCACGTGGACACCAGGCGGCTGGCCCACCGCGAGGACCAGCGGGGCGGGACAGGACACGACATGAGGGGCGGCGCCCCGGGTGAGGAGTCAGAGCACCCGGGCGCGAATGCCACCCTCGCTACCTGTGACCCGGGCAGGGGAAAGGAAAGTGGTGCCAGGCCTCCCGGTGCAGGACTGGCTGCACCCGCGCCCCGCAGCGCCGGGAGCTGTCCGGAGCCGGTTCCGCCGAGGTCACCTTGAGCCCGCGGCCGGCACACCTGTGCCCTGACGTCCCCACCGCGCAACGGGCGTTTCTCACCACCAAGAGCTCTTTGAGGGCTTGTGCCTCTCAAGGACTTTGCAGAAAAACTGCACGCATTTTCAGTTTGGGTCTGCTGGGGGAGTGGGGGGTGGGCGGCTTCCTCGTGCTCCGGACCCCTGGCCTAGCGTGGGGCCACGTCCAGGGCGGCCTTGCAGGCTATTTGGAGCCCGCGTCCACTTTCGGGAAGGAGCGCCGCCGCCGCCACCTAGTGTTCAGGGCTGGCATTGCACGCTTCCTTGCGTCCTCCGGTCATCCCCCAGGGCCAGAGCTGATCTGGTGGGGGCTCAGGAGTGTGCCCGGGGAACCCAGGCTGGCACCCTCGCTAGAAGATGACCTATTTTGCCAATTATGTCCAGTCCCAGCCTGAGCTTTCCCAGGTGTATAAGCCTCCCACCTCCATGCATCTGCCCACGGCAGTGAAGTTTGGGTCCCTGTCTCCCTGGTCAAGACAGGATTCTTCCCTGCCTCCCCAAACCTGCTCCTTGGGTTTTCCTGTTTTTATTTCCTTTTTTTTTGTGGGCCATACCCGTTGGTACTCAGGGCTTGCTCCTGGTTCTGTGCTCCGGGACCACTCATGGCAGCCTCAGGGGACCATACGTGCCTCCAGGGGGCCAACCAGGGTCAGCCGCGTGCACAGCAAGGTCCATATCCCTACGTCCTCTCTCAGGCCCTCAGAGGTTTCCATCTCACTCCGTCGGTGAGTGCCACCCCGCCATCCCCCTTCCTGCCACCTTTGTGGGTCAGCGTTCACCTGGACACTCCAGCTTCTGCCATCCCTTCTCCCATGTAGGAGTCAGAGAGTTTCTTACAGCTGGAATCAGACCCCACCTGCCTGACACCCAGACCCTGTCCTATCAGCAAAGCAGGCTCCGGCTCTGGCCGCCCACTGCCCCCTTGCTTCTCCCGTCTCCTGTTGTCTCCCTGGTTATAGCCTCTCCCATCCCCATGAGGGGGTGGACTCACCCCTTCCTCCTCAGTCCTCCGGTCCTCAGAGTTCTGAGAGGAAAAATGTCCGTCTCCCTCCCCCGCACCCCCACGGACTCCTCAGGGATCCTCTGCTTTCTGCCACCCGTAGCTTCCTGCGCCTGCCAGCCACCCCCCACCCTAACTCCCGACATCTCTGTCTCCTGATGCCCATGGACAGGGCTTACCAGGCCCTGTGTCCAGGCTCAGGAGCATGATGTTTGTCTCTGCTCTCGTTTCAGTGGCGCTGGGGAAGGAGAGTCTGTGGATCTTCCCTCCAGGCCAGCTCCCAGCTGCCTCTCACCCCCAGGCTGGGCTGGGCTGGAGAGGGGCTCATTTAGGGAGGGGAGCCCAGAAAGGGAAGAGCAACACCGCATCATGCAAGAATCGAAAGGAACAGGCAGCGCTGGCCTCAGGGTCCCTTGCAGGATGTCCCCAGCCCCCAGCAGACAGAATCCTGCCAGGATTTACGCTGTCTGCAAAACTCAGTGCTGAAGGAAGGTGGCGGAGTGAGCCCCTGTGTGAGGTGCCTCGGTTTCCTCAAGTCTGTGGATCCCTAAGTAAGCCTAGCATACAACAAGGAGACTGAGTGTGGATCCAAGCCCTGGCCTGTCCACATGGAGCTTGATACTGCTCCACACAGAGCCCTGGCCTGCCCTGTAGGATAACATTGGTTTGTCCTTTCCCCCTTGCTGCAGGGAGCTTAGGTTTATTGAGTTACTCCCATCACAGTGCTCCCATTCCTCTGGGTTTACTTGTAACCTCTTTCTTTGTGCTCTGTTGACTTGTAAATATTGTTTCTCTCTTCTCTTTAAGTCCTTTGCACAATTAATTCAGAGCAATGTCCTTTTTCAATGGGCACAAGAAGACAGTTAATGCTATGCTTTTGTAACTTGGAAGTTAATTGACTTCAGATAATATTACCTCCAGAGCATCTGTTCTCTTGACCTAAGCCTCAGTTGCTCTTACTTCCTAGCACCTCAAAAGCAGGGTCCTGAAAAGGGACAGGATGGACCCAGGGCAAGCGTGAGCTATGTGCTACCCTGGCATCGAAATGGGCCAGGCCAAAGTCAAGCCATAATGCTTAACTATAAGGTAAGAGCATGGTCATGGACAAATGCTGTCATGATCCAAAAAGCAATAACTAGATTTGCACCCTGCTAGGGTTAGGAATGATTAATCCAGCCTGAGCACTATAGTCTGAGTCTGTGGCAAGATGTCCCCAGGAGAACCACCCTACAAGTTCAGTGTATCTCTTACTGCGTCCATACAAAATAACTAATATTAAGAAGTCGAATTAAGATTTTCATTGTTTTTAGACTAAGGAAAGTCAAAACACCCCGAAGTGGTATTTTGCCCTTGAGCAGAAGAAGGACTTTCTTATGTTGATTTTGCTGCCAACGGGTATGGTGACGCCAATACGGGGAGTTGGGGAGAGACCAGAGAGAGACCAGGGCAGCAAGATGGAGTGCAGAGAGACTAGCCAGGGGGTCAGAAGGAGGAGAATGCAGGGAAGATGCAGGAGCAGGCGCGTGGAGAGACGAGAGAGGAGGCTGTGAGAGGAGGCGCGGAGAGTTG